ATAAATTTGTTGGTGCAAAACTAACCCAATTTTGCATTTTATATGAACCGTTTTACACTCTACATATTTGCATTCACACTTATTTGTATCATTTGCAAACGCAGCCTTAGGGCATTAAGATCCAAAATAACACGGGAAAAGGAAAATGATGTGTATAAATGAAAAAAAAATGAAGCAAATAATATGGAGAAAATAGGGCTAAATGATGGGGTTTTGCACACCTAAAGATGTGAGAGTACTAGGAAAGTCACCATCGCTACTCTTGGACATTCAAATGGAGAAGATGATAGGGTTCCAAAGTCCTTTAAAAAGGGGGAGAATCCTTGCAAATTATATTAATATTTGGGGATAGTTTTTTCCAAAAAAATAAATAAATGCTTATTAAATAAGCACTTAATAAAAGCCACCCACACCCTGCTTATTTTTTTAAGTGCTTGTTTTCAAAATAAGCAATTATTTTGGGCTTTTCTTGCTAAACAAGAATGAGAACTTTGATCATGTTTGAGAACACTTAAAAGAAGTACTTCTTTTAACAAGTACTTCTTTTAAGGCATGGGACCACACATTAAGTGTTTTTTAAGTACATATGGGTGTTTGGTAAAAAAGTGGTGAGGAAGTACTTCTTTGAAAAATTGACTTCAAGTTGGTTTTTTTTTAAGTACTTCTTGAAGAAGTACTTCTCAAAAAAAAAGGATGAACCAGTCCCTAATAAATTTTTATAATACCTAAAATACTCTCCGCCCAAAAAGCATTGTTCATCATCTTCTTCCCTGACTTGTCCCCACTCCCCAATCTGACGCTTCATGGCTTCAGCTTCGTCATCTTCCTTCAGCCCCTCCCTTCCTTGCTCTGTCCTTTCATCTACCTCACCTCCCTGCCGACCAACTCTGCCATTGGAAACCTTTCGTCTTTCTTTTCTTCTAGTCGCCAAATCTTGGCTCCTCTTTGTAAGTTCCTCTCCCGATCTCTCCCCTATTTCTCTCCCTGCTACTGCAATTCTTAGTTGGAACTTTTCTTCTATGTAGAACAGGTCTAGCAACGTCAGAATCTTCATCGCATTGTCAGTTTCAATCAGGATTCTAGGGAACTGTAACTGCTCCCAGCGGCGGTTCCTATCATCAAAACTTCTGAATTTGCATACTGCATTTCCTATAGCTTTGAACGTCTCTGTACTCCATGTGTGCAGCAACACTCCGTAAAAGAGAATGCGGTGAGCATGAGGTGGGTTCCATCTCTGTACTCTATGCATCGAGAAGAGAACAACTCCCTTCCTTCTTTTCTTTTTTGGTGACTGAAGAAAATGTTCAATTGGAATACTATTCTACTGTCGAAAGCAAATGAAAAAAAAGGGATGAAATACTGGTACCCAGAAAGAGAAACTGAAATTGAAGCTCGAAAAACTTTAATTGGAACCGAGAAACAGGGAAAGAAGATACCCCAGAAAAAAAGTGGGTAAATTAGTGACAAATACGAGTTGTTTCTGATGAAGAAATGCATCATTCTTCTTGGTTTTTTTTTAACTTGAAACTCCCCTATTTTTTCTTCATTCTTGTATATTTTTTTTTTACATTGTTTGAATTATTTTGTATGCAAATAATGATGTTGAAAATGAGTGAAGTGAGGGCTAAATTTGTCATTTGTGTCAATATAAGCACTTATGGAAAAAGTAGCTTACCAAACATTCTCACCCCAATAAGTGCTTAAAAACATAATAAGTGATTTTAAAAGTGGGTTGCCAAACACCCTTAAGTGGTTGTTAAAGAAAGTACTTCTAAGAAGTACTTGTGAAATAAGTACTTAATCATCAAACATGGCCTTTGTCCCATCACTTAAAATAAGTGCTTATTTAAGTGTTCCCAAATGTGGGCTAAACTTTAGGCCTTTAAATAATAAACTCTAAACCCTAAACTTATAAACCCAAACCCTAAAACCTACAAACTTAAACTCTAAATCGTTAAACCCTTAAAGCCCCATCTTAAACTTCTTTCCCATTTCCTAAACTTAAACCCTTAAATCATAAACTCTAAACCCTAAACTTATAAATTTTAACCTTAAAGCCTAATAAAACCCTAAACCCCTAAAATTTAAGAGTAAAATGCATCTAATCAGACACATGTCCTTTGGCTAAGTAGGATCATTAACTAGGGTGAGCAAATATGTAGATTCTACATGGAACCAAAAGGAACCAACCTTGAAATAGCCTTAAATTTACTATACTTAGGCAGGTTTTAGGGTTTGAGGACTTACCCTACCTAAATTGACTTGAAGAAGCAACCTTAATTGGCTTTCATGGAATTGGACTTGCTTTAAAATAAGGATGCAAACAGATCGGATCAAATTTGAACCAGGGTATATTCGAATATGATCTAGCACTGTTCATGTTGGATCCGATCCGAAGACCCAATCGGATCTGGTAGGACTTGATTTGAATTCGAATCCTATCAGTAAGTCGGATCTTCATATCTTATCTGATCCGACTTGTTTTCTTTAAAAATTAATAAAATAAAAATAAAATATATTAATTTAAATAAAGTAAAAACAATAAATACAAGTATTTTTTAATTATTTTCATCATATATACATATTTTTATAAAAATAAATAATATAACAAGTTTATAAAAATATAATATTAAAAATATATTTATAAATAAATAAATGACATATATATTTATATTTATAAATATATAATATATCGGATCAGATCGGATCTTCTCGTACCGGATAGGAGTGATCCAAATCCGAATATGATTTCTGGTCGAATCATATTATCCGATCCGAATGTTCGAACATGTGTGATCTGAATTTGACCAAACAGGATCAGATATCGGATCATGATCCGATCCATTTGCGCCCCTACTTTAAAATAAATCCCAAAATACTTTGGAGATGTAAAGGTTTGAACCCAATCACTCATGGTTACAAAGACCATGGTCTCATTGACCACAAAGCCACTTAACTAAATCTTTTTCTTCAATTTAATCTTTAAATGTACTAGAAAATATGCATGTGTTTTTACATGTGGGAATTTTAAATGATGATGATAAAATAATATGTGTCCAAATTTCTCTACATTTTTTTTTGTATTTCATTGATAAAAGTAATGATTATCTATCACACTTATATAATATCATAGATGTGCCCAAAAAATTTTCTACAAACTTTATTTAGGTATTTCAAATTAACAAGAGATAATACAAGTCAATACCTTAATATAATTTATGAGAGGGAGTTGAATAAACCAAATAGTAGTATTTCAAATTACATTTTCTACCTTTACAATTAGAAAGAGACTAAATTCAAAAGTAGGGTGCTTTAGTGAAAAAAAGTTCCATAAGCTAATTCGTACTTCTAATAGTAGCATAGTATAGATATACGTGTGTTCATTTTTTCCATAGTTATTTTTATATTTTTACGTATAAAAATAATTCCTACATATCACACAATTGTTTAATAGAATGAATATACAATATTAGAGATGTACCTAAATGTTTTCTACAAAATTCATGTAACCTTTCTTTTCTTTTTTTTGTGTGTTTATCTTTTTAAGTTTTTTATTATTACTTATGACATCAAAGGGTGACAAATTTGACCCAAAAATTTGATTGTTTACCTACCACCAACACATGGAAACAATTTAATTTTTTGTTCAGTTTTAAATTTCATATTTCATTTATATCATTAATAAACACAATTCTAGTTTAGCATAGTTATTTTCATGTGACATGATTAACATAAAATGTAAGAGATATGTTCAATTTCTTTACAACTTTTTATATTTATTTTTATTTAAAAAATATTATTTAACTATGACATCATGGGTTGACTCATTTGACTTAGATGGTTGAATTTCTCACCCAGCACCTACGTTGAAGAAATGTTTTTTTTTGGGGGGTTTGGTTTAAAAAAAACGTGGATTATAAAGCTATATAAGATTCATTAAGTCTTATATAGATCTAATTAGTATAATTTATTAATGAGAAAACACCTTAAATATATGATTCAAAGAGAGAAAGAGAGTTAATACCATAAATATATAATGCTTAACGAGAATGAATTAAATGAGGTGAAAGTAGTAGTTCAAGTTACATCTTCAGCCCTCAAAGTAGGGGTATTTTAGTTACGAAGAAAAGTTCATCACCCCCATTCATACTTTGAATAGTATGATATGATAGATATAGATATAATAAATAATGCAAAAAGTAATATTTGCAAAATTTAAATTATAATGATTTGAACTATATGTTAATATATTATGATAATTTACTTAAGAATCAAGTTTATTGTGTTTTTTAATCAATCAAGCGTGCGTATTAATAGTAACATTATCAATATATACAGTCAACGATTATGTAATTATGTCACATTTATAATTTTTAGTGTTAAAAAACATAACATACTCAAAGATACACACACGTTTGTTGTTTTTAAATAGAAGGAAATAATAAGTTTCATGGATAGAGCCTAGAAATTGCCGAGGCCAAAATCGACATTGGAATCAATATTGACAGGGTAAGTTTTGGTTCTAAACACCTAGAAAGAACTCTTATAAGATAAGTTCCAGGTTTTTCCCTTCTAAACAAAACCAAATCGACCAATGCTCCCATGCAGTGGCTTATGGCTTTCCGAGGTAGGTCTCACGCTAACAACTAAAATTTGAATGGATTTTTGGACTGCAATCTTTGTCAGAAATCTAATTTGCAGCTTTCTCTTAGTCTATTAGTAGTCCCCCTATAAATCACATCTTGTTCATGAATTTGACATCAATCCACGGGTAGATTTAATCCATCCCTAGTCTACTAGTAGCTCCACTTAGAGGTGGACTGAACGGTAAAAACCCCAAATTTAAAAACCACTAGCATTTTAACAATTAAATCAACTTTTTTGGTAATTTTAGGGTCTGTTTGGCTTTGCAGTTGAAATCAAAATCTTTGTGAAATAAAATCGAAATAGTCCATTCCTCTTGCTTATTTGGTCTATTTGGTTCAAGCATGAATCGGAATTAGCTTGAATGAATTCCCATGGAGAGGGAGGAATGACCATTCCTTTAAACGTAAAAATGGCATTCTACTTGGAATGGGAATTGGATTCCGATTCGGCCCAATCAAACGATCGGAACATTCTTATTCCAATTCCAGACCCTTGTTCCCGCTAACCAAATTGGTCCTCAATTGATTTGTAACGTGACTACTGCTGAAGCCATCCCAAACGCGCTCTAGTCGGTCATTTGAAGGGCCGTCCGCCTATCCGGAGTGCTGCAGCCCGAAGGTTCGAAGCTACTGGCCAACTTCTCTCAGCCGTCTGAGCTATAAGTTGGGATTCGAATTCTCCCGCCAGAAACAGAGCGGTTAAATAACCGTTTCTAGATTGTCAATCTTATAATGGCTTTCAACTTGACAATTCTACTGTCGATTTTTCTCTATGTCGATCCAATCCCTTTCCGTCATTATTATTCTCCTCCTGCACGAATTTGAATCCGCCGCTGTCTCCCAGTCGCCGGATTTCCAAAAATTTCCTGGCTACATGCGTCCATTCATCGGTATTTCTCTCCAACCTTCTCAATCATTTAAATTTGTAACCGCATTCTTATTTAATTTGAATGCATTTTTTACTTTTTTTTTTTTTTAATTTACGCATGCATGAAATCTTATTGTTTAAAGATTCATGGAGTTTTTTATGTACTTAAAAGACTTTTATCTCTGTTTTCCAAAAGAGGATTGAGTTAGTGTGAAATGGATTTTGGACCCAATTTTTGGGTTCATATACTTGATCATAACATTGAAAAGGAAAAGACAAAAACAAAAAAAAAAGAACGAAAGGAGAAGAAAGCATTTAGACTCATTTTACCTTTTAGGATCCCTCAAAAGAAAATTGGAAGCGGGGGAATTAATAAATAAAATGAAAGCAAAGTCATTTTTGTTTAAAGAAAGGAGGCTCTTTGTCAGATACATGCTTAAAAATGGGTGCCGGCCAATCAACCTTGAATCACAAAATGCTGTTGGAACAGATTCAGGAATAAAGCTGCCTGCATTATGGTTATATTTAACGGGGTATTAACTTCTATAAATAAGTTATAGGCATACTTGCGTGGTTTGGGAGTTGGGACTAAATCCAGTTCAGCTTAGTTGGACAAGAGATCATTCATTTGAACATGGTAATTTGTTTTTTCCCGTGCTCTCTAGAAGAATGCTTTAAAAATTAAGCCGAACGTTGAACTGGTAAAGTGGCTAGCTTCGTCCATTTAAGAGGAAATTTACTTAGCATTACACAGGGTATGATTAGAAGTAATGGAAACTGGGAAAATATGAGAAAAAGGTCCAAGTAGTAAAAAAGAATATCAGCGATTACATTGAAGGTAGGGGTGATCATGGGCCGGATCGGGCTTTGCACCTATTCATGGTATACAATATGCACGTAAATTTATTTTATACATTATACAATATAAAATGTTATATATAATATATATTATAACTGTCATATTATAGTGTATATATATAAAATATAATATAATATAAGATAAAGTAACATATATACACATGTATACATTATGTACAAAATATTTATATTTAAATATATGCCCGCTGGACTGGGCTTGAAATATCAGGCCCAGGCCCAAGCCGGTCCTACACACAAAACCCAGGCCCAAGCCCATAATTTCCAGGCTGGGCCTGGCCGGGCTGAAATGATCACTCCTATTTAAGGTGTCCACAAATATGAAGTAGTTAAAAGCAATTAAGGCCTTGTTTGGTAATACTTAGTGCTTTGTACTCTCGACAATACAAAAGTACAGAGCACGTGTAATACTTTTACTTCGAAAATTGTTTGGATGAAAAATTTTCAAGGACGTACTTTTTAAAGTAGAAGTAAATAATGACATTTGGATACAGCAAGATATTTTACACATGCACATGTCACGTGGCATGCACATATGCACACATGTCACATATGCCATCATGTGTTATATGTGTGACCAAATATGTTTAAATGCCACATGGCATCCATATATGCTGTTATGTGCCATCCAATGCCATGTGGCATCCATATATGCCGCCATGTGGTATACATTTGTCACTAACTATGCTCAAATGTCATGTGGCATCCATGTAGATTGCCACATAGCATACATTATTATTGACTTACGTTCCAATGCCATGTGGCATCCATATATGCCGTCATGTGGTATACATTTGTTACTAACTATGCTCAAATGCCACATGACATCCATGTAGACTTCCACATGGCATCCATGTAGACTTCCACATGGCATACACTTGTCATTAACTATGCTCAAATGACACTTGGTATCCATATATGTTGCTGTGTGACATACACATCATTGACTATCTTCAAATGCCATTGATGCCACATGGCATCCAAAATGCCATCACATGGCATACATATGTCATTGAACATGCACAAATGCCATGTTGCACACATATATGCTGCCATGTGGCACAAGCATGTCGTTGAATGTATTGATGTACCTATGCTGCCATGTGGCATTTATATATGTTATCATTTTGTGGGGTGTATAAGTACCATACATGTGTTGTTGCATGTGTTTTAGAAAGTATAAAGTATGCCCATTTATTTAACAAAGAAAAAGAAAGTATAAAGTATGCTAGAGGGCTAAAAAGCACGAATTATCAAAAGTTGGTTTTGTGCGTTTGTGTTTATTGTATGTTCATACTTTCAAAAGTACAAAAATACTTTAAAAAAAGTCATACCAAACAGCGCCTAATATAGCTGCAACTTTGGACTGTTTAGATCAAGTAAATATTTAAAGTGTTTTGAATGGCTTTTCTAGCGCATATGTTTCCTATTAGCCATAAGCCATTAAGAGTACTCTTTCTCCCCCCCCCCCTTGTATTTGTGTGCATGTGCATGTTTTGTAAATATTTCTCTTGCCATGAGTTATTTGAGTTATTTTACATCTTTGTTCTATGCATTCAACTGCACACTCTTATTTTGTTTGAGCTCAAGAGCCCTAAGAAATACTCTTATTGATTTTGTTTGTCTTTGCCTGTGCAAGTGCACTTCATTCCTACTGATAAAAAAAAGTGCACTTCATTCCTACTCTTCTTGTGATGGGTGCCTTTATACACTTGTTTGATTCACTTGACTAAAACTTGTCATATCTTATATTGTAACCTTTTTTCTGTTTCAGCTCAAGAGTTTGTCAGAAAGACTGCTTACAGGCTTTCTAAACCTCTTATTGGAGATGATGGGAGGATATACACGTGTTTTGAAAGGAATCTTTTTGCATTTGAAAGCAATGGTTCTATTGCATGGGTTATACCTCTGAATTATACATGTAATATGGAGATAGCTCCAGTTTGTGATGATAAAGGCAAGGTAATGACATCCTTTAGTTCATTGGCTACAAAGGTTTTGGTTAAATAAAATATGCCTAGGTAGCTTGGTGGATGATTGGAGTTCTTCTGAACCTGCTTGAATTGCTATAACCTGACTTCTTTAAGGTGACTAATCTGCTGTAGAGAGTAAAAGCCAAAGATAACTATACACTTTACTCCTGAAGTTTTACATACTTGAAGATTGAAAGAAATAGGTAACCATTTTCAGTATGTATATTGTATATGAGGTATAAAACACAGAGCCCTTGGGAAGCTTGACTGGTTAATATATTGATAGACATATCATTTGTAGCCACTAACCACTGTTGATTTTTGTAAAGTTTGATGTCCACAAAAATGTAAAATGTATTATAGGATATGATAAAGCTATGCAAATACAAATTTTCCAGGAAAAAGAAAGAAGAAAAAAATATAGCATTGTCCAAGTGGTCTTAAACTTTTTGATTGTTGGGTGGATAAAATTTTCTTTGAAGGTATATGCATGAAGACCAAATTAATGATGAGCTTGTGAAATGGCATGCTCCTTGTAGTATAAGGAAAATCCCAATTATTTATTATTCTCAAATTTTTGAGGACCTATTATCCATGATTTAAATACTTCAGACTTCAGTGCCAACTTATTGTTATAAAAGAAGTCACTTGCTCAAGGACTAAATGACATACAACAGAACGAATTTAATCTCTCACTCAAAATGAGATGTGACACCTGTTTCACCATTTTCTCGATCTTTGATTTTTGATGCTTGATGGGCTTAATCTGTAACAAGCATGCCATATAACTAGTTAAAGTTTGGCTTGCCAGTGCTGGAGAATGAATTGGTGAACTCTCATAAATGTACTTCTCGCATATCCTTGACAACCTTGAGCACAGCATTCTAGTGATTCTTCAAATAGTTTCTTGGTTGTTCATTGTTTATGTTTATTCTGCCTTATAAAATTTACAGGTCCAGGAAAATTTACTTGGTTATTGCCTTCCAAAAGTCTTTTCTTACTACCTTGAACTTTCTTTAGCTAATAATGCGTGTGATACCTACTACTGCCAGATGTATTTAATTGCGGAAAATAGAGTACTGAAAATCAAACTCCAAAACATTGGAAATTCTGAATCTGCTGCAGAAGTTTTCTTTGGTCCAGAATCAACCATGGGAGGATCAGATGAAATTGTTGGTCTCTCCATAAGCATGTTGAGTTCATCTATATTCATCAACATAAAAAATCGGGGCCTCTTTGCTTACTTGTTGCATGGACAACTTCTCTGGAGTGCTGGACCTGTGCTCTATCGATTTGGTTACCGTCAGGGTTGTAAGAGAAGTGTCACAGATTGTTATTTTACATCAGGTCCTGTCATTGATCAGTGTGAAGCTAGTATTTATGTAAGGTCCCCTTATGCCCCTATAATTCCTCTTTAGACTCTTAACTATTTTAAACTGTCAGGCAATGAGGATCACATCCGAACTAAGCAATATTCTTTTCTCATATTCAAACTTCAAATGAGAGATATGAGTTTACTTAATTGCTGTTGTAGTTGTAAACTTAAACCCTGATCTTCTTTGAGAACTTCAGATTTTGTTGCTGTTAGTGCTCTTAATTACAAGGAATTTTATGTATGGTACTTCATCTACTTTATATTTCAGTATTTCTTTATTTTGGATTTATTGAACTGTATTTTTTGACATTTTCAGATCTCAAACTCTGAAGGAGAGATATATTCCTTATCTCTTTTCAATCCTCATTTCAAATGGATCCAAGATTTTAGTGCATTTGACAAGCAACTCGTAATCACTCCTGGTAACAATGGCCGTGTATATGTAACTATCCCAGTGAGGGCCCTTGTGTTTGCACTAGATGCTTCTACCGGAAATATCCTGTGGCAAAATGGTGTTGGTCCATTAAGTACTGCAGAATGCTCACCAGTTGTTGATTCCAATGGTAAATATATTTTCTATTTTACCTGTCAAGTTGTTTATTCTACATATGGCTTTATGTTGATAGATATGTGAATTGGGCCCTCTGGATATCTGTTGCTTAAATGCTTTTACTGATGTAACAGGTTGGATATCTATTGGTTCATTGGATGGATTCCTGTACTCTTATTCACCAACTGGGGTTCTCAAGAAGTTCCCAAAAGAAACTTCACTAGATTCAGTGATTCAAGTTAGTCCTCTTCTTGATTGTTCTGGATATGCTGTCTATTTCTCTCAGGTGGAGATGGATGGAAAGATAAGTCGAATAATTGGTGAATATACATATGTCTCTGCCATGAAACCAATAAATGCAGTTTTTACCATGCTGGTTCCAGCTATTGGGGCCATTTATTGGAAAGGAAATTATCCTGGTATTTACAATCTTTTGCTATTTTTTCTTGGAATTAACTTTGAAAACATGAAACATTCTTGATTGTAGCATTACTTGGTGTTCCGTTAGGTCAATTATCGTCTTTGTTGTTGGGGAGTGATCTTCACCACTTTGCATTGGATGAGAGGATTCTTCTTGCTTTTGTAGCTGCAACAAGTGAGATCTACAGTTTTCTTATATGTGACTTCTTGTGATTATTAGATCCCCTCCAATGAAGCTTGTATTATTCGGCACCTGAAATCCTATAGATAGTGTTAACAATAAAGGAACTCTAAGCTCTCAAGGGTAGTGATTGGGATCTACTTGCTTTGTTGGATTTACATGTATTTGTATGAATGGAGGTGTTAGTGCCTTTTTCCATGGGATTGATAGAAGGTATTTAAGTAATTATGACAACTTACAAGGACAAGTATAAAGCCAAAGGTGAGAGTGGATCCCTAATCCTTTGCTAAAGGCCAGTTAGCTAAGAATAAGGATCTCTCAATCATGAGTAAGGCTAGCATTTCTCTTGAAAACATTCTTCGCCATCCATGTATTAACAGAATTAATGGGAACTTTTAATCTCTTGGAATGAGAAATTTAGGGTCTAAGCTTGGGGGGATGATCCCTAATAAAATCATTTTCTGTAAAGTTGCTTAAAATAAACAATGATGTAAGGAAGGCCATTACCCAATTCTGGTCCCAGCTATCTGGGATCTTGGGAGGGGTGGGCTGGATAAGGACCTAGCCTCTAGCATCTTTTGCATGAAGCGACCACTCTTGGGCTAGATCTCATGTTCTCTCACTCATGATATTACCATTCCACCAAGCAATCACCCCTAAGCTGTTAATAGATAATGATGTATAAGTATGATTCAATAGTCAAATTATCGTATGAAGATAATGATGTGTACATGCTGTCTTAAACTTGACTATTTGATATGTGTTAATTTTGTTTCACTCCAGACTGAGGCTGAAGTTTTACTAGAATTCTCTTACAATAAATCTCAGGATTTAACAAGTACTTATGATTCAATCCACAGGGGAAGCAACAGAAAAAAGGAAAATTCTCAAATAAAGTGGTTTGTCTTTCCTTATTGTGGCTTGAACTCTTTGTATATGCAGCATAGATAATATACAATTTCACATGCTGTTGGTCTTTGGCCCCATTGCTTTTGGTTGTACAGGAGCCTCATGACATACCTCTTTGAGTTATAAATTCATATTTGCCCTTTCTAAAAAAGTGCCTTCTAGAACTACTATGCATTGTTTACTTTTGCAATTGATTTTCATCTCTGGGTTAATATTGAATTTGTTCTCTTTGATGCAGAGACCAGAAATCCACTGCCATGCCGTACCACACGTAAAAAGAAAGCATAATCACCTCTCTATTTCTATAACTGAAATATGTATTTAATATTATGACTTGTCTTTTGGTTTCCAGGACAGAAGCTTGCTTCAAGTTGTGCCCAAGCAAGGTCCAAGCACCTTAGCATCTATACAGGTGAAACAGAACTCTGTCTAAATACTAACAAATAGAAGCACAACCTGCTCTTATTGCTCCCTTTTACAGGAAATGAAGGGGAAATACTATTATTTCTATTATTCCAGTCTTCCATTTTGATAGTTCTGGCTTGTTTTGTCCGTTTTTGTTGTATATTTTGGAGGAAAAAGAAAATTCAAGGGAGAGACCTTGGGAAATTCCTAGAGAAGAGGGTGAGTAAGATTGGAAACCTTTAATGATGGCATTTCATGGAAAATGCTATCTCAGTGCTTTTCTGACATTATTTGCATTCAGCGTTCTCTTCGAGTCAGGAAGAAAGCTTTTGATAGGACAATTACAGAGCTTGAGCAAAAGGCAGCAGAGGAAGCAGTGGCCAATGAAGTACTAGAAAAGTTGGGAGGTTTGGTAAGAGAGCGCAAGGGCATAGAAAGGAAGCTTTCAACAACCTATAGTTTGGGTAGGGATGGAGTTGGATTACAGCCACAGCATGCCCTTCCCCTGTATGATGGGAGCACAAAGAGCTACTCTTTTCGAGGTACTAAAAGAGAGAGTTTTACCATCTTTCACACGCTAAGTGATACTTCAGACGAAACCACCACCAGCAGCAGTAGCGGTAGTAATGGAAATAGCAGCAGCGGTGATGGAGAGATGACCTGGTATTATCGTGGAGATAAGGAATCTGCATATAAGGCAAAGGCACCCGCGGAAGCTGGGACTTCTAGGAATATTGGGATATGTGGGGAAGAGTATCAAGAAAGTTTGCCAGGGAAAGCATTAAGTTCAAAAGGATTCACCAACCCATTGTTTGTTGAGCACACTTCAGGTGAGTTAAAGGAAGCACATATGCATGAGGAAGAGGTGATGGAGCCCATGCATCAAGGAAGTAGTAAGGGTATATTGTTCAAGAGGAGTAGGACCCTTTCTTCGACTAACTAGAAAAAGACTAGCTAATGCCATTCTGGAGGTTGACCCTAATACTATTGTGATGGTTTAATGACTGAACCTGGTTATTGTTCATTATCCCTGGTTATTGTCTATTATTTCATTACTTCTGTGATAGTGAATTCTGTTTTATGAGCATGACTTATCAATTAGCTTCTTCTGATTATGTCATTATCTTTTGTAGTATATAAAATTTGTTGAATACCTATGGTTTCTTTATAACTATGGGTTTAATCATGAGAACTGCAGAAAAGTAGGTTGGCAAATTTCTCATTGGATGATGTATCACTTGGCAACTGTTGTCCTTTCAATCCTTCTGTTTACATGTAAATTTCTGGATGGAAAGCCAAGAAAAGAAACAGTAAAAATGTAAAATGAAGAGTTCATCCCATTGAATGATTACATACCTTTTTATGATTTTGGATATAAATTGATTTTGACTCATGGAAGGTTAGACTTATTTGCAAAGGTAGTTGTTTTCCTTTAGTCTCTAACCGCATGATAATTTCTATTAATCATGTAATGAATGATATGACAAAAAAAGGATCAACATGCACTTTTCATGTTCTATAAATATAAATTTTCAGTTTGATGGCAGGATATGAAAATGGGAAATATTTGTAACATCCAACATTACTGCTTGTTAGTGTCCAGTAAGTTACAGCCAGGTTCATGCACTCATGACTATGCATGTAGGGTCTTTTTGCTCCTATTACAAGGTATATAAAATTGGTTTTTGAATTCTCGTCTTAATGTGCTTTTGGACAGGACATTTCTTCAAGTTGCATTGCAGAAATATAACATGTCAGCATTGCCCAGTTTTTTTTCTTGGTTCTATCTTTTTCAATTATCAACATCTTCCCGTCGCATCAACTATTGAAGTCTTTAGCCATCATATAGACCTATAGCTACTTTGTCTTTTGGAGATAATGTCTACACAACTAGTTGATTTTTTATTTGATTATATTTGCATCCTATATTTTTGCTCATTAATGTCTAGAATCCATTTTGTGTGTGTACTGTAAAACCCACCCACCATGAATTTCCTTGTAACTAAATGCTTCCATTAGGATCACCCACATGTTGGTTCTATGTAAATTTATATTGATCAACTTGGTTCTATGTAAATTATGAATGCTTTCCTATGGGGTTATGGCTTCAAGTTATTTACTTGAATAGGTTATCAACCTTTTCATGTTACTAGCTGTCAGACCCTTGACATATTGGCTTGATAGTGTCACGGATAGGCCATGGGCCACAGGCTAGACAAAGGACTGAGACAAACAGTACACTTGGCCTAGGCTTGGGCCAAGGCATGAGCGGGCTGGCTCATGCACAGTTGCAGGCAGACTTGACCACGCGGCTCATGAGGTGGCATGGGTGGCATGGCGAGATGGATTGGTGCAGGTGTGTAGCCAAGGCATAGGCAAGTGCCTGGCACACAGGTGGGCTGACGGGCTCAGTGGGTGCCTAGCCAGGCCCCAGGGACAGGGCCAGTGCCTAGGCGTAGGTGGGCATGCGCCATGGCAGGCTGATACAGGCAGCACAATCATGCTACAACACATGGGTGTAATGCAGACAATAGGGCAAGCTGACGGGCCAGACTTGCTCAAGGATGCAATGATTCTCGAAAAAGACCTTGACATAGTATGTCGTTGGAACTTAGCACACACTGAGGGTAGGTTGGATGTCTTAGGCGTGGGCATGATGGCCAGGCAAATTGTTGACAGGTGCATTGACATTATTGCAAGTATGGACAGTATGACAGTTGAGAAAAGTGATGTTATCTTCTGGCAGAAGGCCAAAAGCTTAAGAAGGGTCATCGTTTTAGGAGTAAGAAAATGGTAAAAGAGGGTGTGACTGACAGGAGGAGAGTGACATTCGCAGAAGCTGATCTTGTTGGAGTGGCAGTCTGGCAGAGCAGAAGGACCTTCTTCAGAGGTGCCTTATAGCTATAGGGTGCTTTGAGGGGGAATTAGAAGATCAAAGGGTAGCGGAAGAATGGTTAACAGTACGTGGAGAAAGTTGTTAATAGTCAAAGTAAAGAGATTACTTTACCTTACCTTTTCAATGAAATAAAATAGAATAAAAAAATAAAATAAGAATTTACTTCAGGGCCTTTTATCTCTTCATTTTCCCTTTATATCATGTTGTGGCAAGATCCTTAGGTAAACCTGATGGAGTTTAAATGGCAACCACATATTATAGGAATGGTGAAGAGCATGTGTGCAGGATGCTTCTCCAATGAATTGGAAGACAAAAGTGACTCAAAAGGAGAAATCTGGATCCACATCTTTGGTTTACCATTTTCTATGGTGCTCCAATATTATAAAGGTAATAGGTGAAATGTATGGGGGCTTTATTGAGACTGATGATTTGGCCCCAAAAATAGCCTAGTGTGAATGGGTTCACCTAAAAATATATAGATGAAGAATGATTCTAGTGAGAGTCTACATTGTGGGGAGTGGGTACGGGGTGGTGAATTTTGGAGAGTGGTGCCGTGTAGGTACGCGGTGGTGAAGTGGGACACTCTTATGGAGTTAGTGTATGGAAAGAAATAATGAGTTTCAACTCTCTGATGGTTCCGTTTTATTAAGGTGGGAAGTGGGTCTAGCATAAGGTTTTGGGAGGATGATTTGCTGGAATTGGGAAGTTCTATGAGATTTGCCCAAGGCTATACAATTTGGGTCAGAAGGGAGTGCCTATTTCTGATTGTTATGAAATAATTAATGGATCTGTGGTTTGAACTCCAAATTTTAGAAGGCCTCTTTTTGACTTGGAAATGGAGGAGTGTTTGGAACTTCTGTCAAAATTGCAATCAATGGAAATTAATCCCTCAGCTGCAGACATCAGGTGGTAGAAAGAATGCAAGGATGGGAAGTTTACAGTCATGTCAATGTACTCCATATTGATCAGAAATCAGGTGGAGGCTGATTCAATTGGGAGTGTGGGGGAAACCAGTTCCCCCAAGGGTGGAAGCCTTTGCCTGGCTGATAGCCAGAGGTTGCACATTAGCACAGGATATTTTAAAGAAAAGAGGATTTCAATTTCCAAGTAGATGTGTACTATGTCTGGCCAGAGAGGAAAATATTATTCATCTGTTGTACTAATGCAGCTTTATAAGCCCAATTTGGTCCTACTTATTCAAGCTGTTTAAGGTGGACATATGGTCAATTTCAGATCAGTCTGAAATTTCTGGGTGCTGGCCAAAAATTCAGTGTGGTCCTAAGTTGGAACTTGCCCTCAAGGTCAATATGGGGGAACTGGTGTTGCAGTTGTAGATAGGGTTCCCACGTTGCATCCTCTTCCGGCAACTGTGACCAGACGACTAAAGCTTCTGGAACAATGTGGGAGACTTGACCCATCTGAAATTAGTGATACGCACTGGCTCTGTTTCTAGGTCCATATCACTTGAGAATTTGGGAAGATATGGTTGAGTTATAGCATCTGGTTTCAAGCATTTTTTGAGAACTAAGACATGGAAAACTGGGTGCACTCTTGAATCTGGTGGGAGATCCAATCTGTATGCAAGAGGTCCAATTTTCTCCATGATCTTGAAAGGTCCAAAGTAGCGAGGTGCCAGCTTGTTCCATTGCTGTTTTTGTACTGAAAGCAACTTGTAGGGGAGCAATTTCAAGTAAACCATGTCACCAACCTGATACTTCTCTATGATGTTTATCATATGATTGTTTCATCCATTGTTGGGCCCAGAGCAGGTTCTGTTTAATTTCCTGTAGAATGATATCTCGATTCAGCAGGTGTTCTTCAAGTGAAGCTACTGATGTAGAACCCTTCTCATAGGAAATCAGTATAGGTGGGTCACGACCATATAATGCCATAAAAGGAGTCATTCCTGCCGATATCTGATAGGTAGTGTTGTACCACCATTCAGCTCAATGCAACCAGCTGAACCATTGTCTTGGCTTGGTTCTGGTGAAGCATCGTAAATATGTTTCTAAGCAACGATTGACCACCTCTGTTTGCCCATCAGACTGTGGATGGTAGCTTGTGGATTTGCTGAGCTGTACACCTTGGAGGCGAAAAAGTCCTTTCCAAAAGAGGCTGATGAAGACTGGATCTCTGTCAGAAACAGTAGACTTTCGGAAACCGTGAAGATGAGCTATTTCCCGAACGAAAGTGTTGGCTACTGTAGTTGCAGTAAATGGATGTGACAGTTCTAAGAAGTGGCTGTATTTTGTAAGGCGATCAACCACCACTAATATGACTGATTTACTGGCAGAGGTCGGTAGGCCCGTTATAAAATCCATAGAAATATCTTCCCAAACTTGGCTAGGTATGGGTAATGGTTTTAGAAGGTCAGCTGGGGATTGGGCCTCATACTTGCATTGTTGACATACCTGGCATGTAGATATGTATTTCCTTTATGGACTTTAGCATACCCTTCCAATAAAATTGGGACGACACTCTCTTATATGTGTGTTTGAATCCTGAGTGTCCACCCATCAGTATCGCATGGAAGTAATTCATTAGCTGGTCCAAAAAGGCTGAGTCCGCTGGTAACACCATTCTACCTTTATAGTACAGCACTGACCCTTGGATAGAAACCCCGGTTTGTCCCGTGGTTGTTGCAACAACTGTGCCTTTATTGCTTGGAGTTCCTTATTACTGTCTGTTTCCTCTTGTAATTGGTCCCGTAGTGCTGTAGTGGGTTGTTGGAACACATGCAATTGGAGGTAGGACCCGTTGTTTGGGTTGATGTGACTTTGCATCAGCAACTCTATGTTTTGCTCCCGGTTTGTATTCAATAGTGTAATCAAAGCCCATAACTTTGAAACCCAATGCTGCTGGTCTGGAGAAAGGACCCGTTGTTCCAATAGGAATTTCAGACTTTGGTGATCAGTCTTAATCACAAACTTACGGCCTAGCAGGTAGGAGCGCCAATGCTGAACTGCCAATACAACTGCCATCAATTCCCGGTTGTAGACTGAAGAATGATTTTGTGTGGTGGATAATGCCTTACTGAAGAAGGCAAGGGGCTGACCATCTTGCATCAGCATTGCTCCCACGCCCAGTCCCGACGCATCGCACTCTACCCAAGCTTTGTTGTTCCAGATGAAAGAGTCTTTCTTTAGCACTGTCAGTGGTGCTGCAATTATCCTATCCCATAGCTTTTAATGAAGCGTTGGTAGTACCCTGTGAGTCCTA